ACAAAGGGCATCGCTACTAGTAGCAAGGTGCCTTGCTAGTAGCAACAAGAAGCTACTACTTCCTTCGCCCATCCCTCATGGAACCGCTTCTAGCAGTTGGATTTGGCCATGGAACAGAACAGAAGCAGTCTTTACTGTCGTCATATTTGGGGTCAAAAATGCGGCCACGGGTTCCAGTCTTTGCTTGTAGGATGTACAGCTACTATTGCTACCACTGCTATTAGCAGTAGCAATCGTAAAGGTTGCAATAGCAGTGTTTCAATTCCTATTGGCACGATTACCCTACTACCACTACTACTTTGCAGCACTAAACTTAAACCGCAGGGCTGCCCCTTTGTAGAGACAGAGTAAGAAAATGGTGTGTGTCGGGGCTGCAGTTGTTGCTCATAGCTTGTTGTTATTATTGTTGTTGATGATGTTGTTGTTGCATCTGTTCTTGCTTGCTGAAGTCATCGTAATCGTTGTCATCGTCGAAGTGGCAGGGGCACGCAATAAGCAGTGGCGGTATGGTAGCGAAGATGGTAGTGCTCTGAAAGAAGAATCCTGGACCATTGCGCCAGCTGCGAAAGCAAGAAAACACATGTATAATGGGAGTCTGGGGCCTGACTGTTTGAAGAAGAAAACGCACTAGGTGCAAGGGAAATCTCCGGCACGACTGGCGGGCACAACTGGTGCTTTGCTTGTGAACAGGCGTGATGATGACTTGTCGGCCACGATCAGATGAAAGACCGGAAGGGGTGGATCGAGCAGCAGTAAAATGCACTGCACCAAAAGGCCTTTTGCCTCTTGGTGGACTGCCGATGTCCAAGCACAACGGCAAATCTCCTTTGATTTTTGGAGATAGAGTCAATCATCCCGATGAGTCTTTTGAATGAAGCTCTTGGATGCTCGGTTCAATGGACCAAGATGGACAAAAAAGGTCGTTTGCAATTAGAGCATCTTGTGGGAGAAGGAAGAGTGTCCAGGCCTGGCTATTACGAATGTCCACAAATGCCAAGCAAACTCGCCCTTGAACTCATTAGCTGGAACAAGCGCGAAAGGGGTCGAGAAGGAAGTCGAATGCAGCAGGTTGAGACTCACCGAGAGCTGCCAAAGCTTCCCTCAAAAGGCACTTGTTCCTAATAGCAAACATTGTTACTACTAGTAACAAGTGCCTCGCTAGTAGTAACAAGTGCCTTACTACTAGTAACAAAAAGCTATTAGAATTAATTGTTACTACTAGTAAGGCACTTGTTACTACTAGCGATGCACTTGTTCCTAGTAGCTTCCTACCCCCCCCCGCTATTAGAAAGCTACTAAATGCGAAGCCACCGTCGATCATGGGCACGATGGTCTCCAGTGACCAGTTGTGATGAACGTCACTAGATGTCCGCATGCACGTGGAAAGGCACAAGTTTGCAGGTCCTCTTTCCACCTGGCAAAGCAACATTTTACGCCGTAGCTTCTTGTTCCTAGTAGTAAGGCCAGGAGCGCCCCTAGTAGTTTCTTGTTGCTAGTAGCAAATTAGCTACTAATAGCAATGCAGGAGCCCCTAATAGCGTCCTTGCTCCTAGTAGCGATGCCGTTTGTTCCTAGCCGTATGAGTGTCCGTGGAAAATGACACAACGTGCCCCCCTGAGCAGATGTCGGAAAGGTCCTTCTATACGTCCTTCAAGTCCTTCCCCATCCTTTCCTTCCCTAAGACTAAGAAGCTACTAAAAGTTCCTAGGAGCAAAAGGGCATCGCTACTAGGAGCAAGAAGCTACTAGCTCCTGGCATTACTACTAGTAGCAAGGTGCCTTACTAGAAGTGAGTAACAAGAAGCTACTACTTCCTTCGCCCATCCCTCAGAGAACCGGAGCAAGGGACAAACCAGGTTCCCATCTGTTCACGTCTCCTTTGCAGGCCGCTCTTAGGGAGGCCATCGCTGGTCGGAGGGCAGAGCGGCCTTTCAAAAAGTCCTTTGTTAAGCTTTGGAAAAAGCTCCTAGTAGCGAACATTGCTCCTAGTAGTACGGCCAGGAGCCCCTACTAGCATCCTTGCTCCTAGTTGCGATGCCCTTTGCTCCTAGTAGCTTGTTGTTCTTTGTTCCTACTGCTTTGTGAATCGATAAATCATTCTTTTCACCCTTCGCAGATCGTTTTCCCTCTCACGGGGTAAGAGCAATGTCCTCAAGTTCGCCTTCATCCTCAGCTTCTGGTTGCGGGGCCTAACAGAATCCACAACAGTTGGAAACTCACCAACTTCTGACTTTGAGATTCAGGCGACATAGTCAGAGGTGTCATAATCTGACGGCGACAGATTTGGCCGTCCAGCAAACAAAGTAGGAACATCGCAGACCTGCAAGCATTCAAAATTCATCGCCTTCACCCTAGTAGCTTCTTGATACTAGTATTGGCCTCCAACCTGATAGCGATGGCCTCCACCCTAGCTTCCGAATGGTGAAGATACACAAAGGGCCTGAAGAGTGAAAGTCCTTAAACGACTGCAACGCTGGACCACACCTTAGAGCTGGCAGTGTAGCGTCCGATCGCTCCTAGTAGCGATGCCCTTTGCTCCTAGTAGCGAACATTGCTCCTAGTAGGTCTAAAGGCAACTTCAAATAGACTCCCAAGCGTCAACTCTTTCACACCTAGTAGCGTCCTTGCTCCTAGTAGCGATGCCACCAGCCCCTATAGTA